AAAATAAATCGAATTTTTATTATTAAATATAGTTACTGTATACTGTATATATGATATTAAAATATAATACAAGTGAATACTTCATAATGAAATATCAAAATCGATCGTTGAACTTGAAATATAATCATATCCCCGATGTAATAAAACCCGCATGTTAAGATAGGAATAAATACTGTATTTATTGATGGCAACAATTAAGTATGCACCATTCCAATATATATATACCGTATAGTGTTTGCGTGTCAATAAATCATATTCAGACAGTGAGTAAAAGTTTCTACTATATAATACAATTTTAAGTAGATGAGTATAATAAAGTTTAAGGTAAGCTGAATAGTGAAAAATTAAACTATTCAAGAAAAAAATAATAATAATACACTTGATGGGTAAAAAAAAAAAAATTTGTATGATTTCTTATTTTGCCGAGGAACGTTCATTCCTTCTTTCTTCGGCGAGCACCAGTTGGAAAATGTACTGCACATCGTCATATATGGGATGTTGCATGACTGCGTGAATAAATTGTTTACCCGAAAAGTTATCATTAAGACAACGCATATTTCTTCCGAGTATCGGTTGTATCAAGTCTCCCTGAAAGTTCGGAAGGGTGTTTGTGTTAATGAAAGGTTCAATCATCACGGAATAAAGGTTTTGATTATCAAATTTATACTAACCGTTTCAACATCCCTTATCTCTATGAAGGAACTATTAAAACCTATGACGTAAGGCATCTGCAATGCTGATTGAAAGACGGTCGATGTTAGTCTAAACCGCGCGCACGTCGAAAAAAGACAATCATCGTAACCTTCTTTTAAAACTTACCCACTGACTCAGGATGACCCTCCCACTCTACCACGTTTTTTCTCGATAATTCACCATATTTGTCGACATGGAAGAAAATTTCTGGAAAAGGACAAACAGAATTGAATTAAATAAGTAAAATAATAGAAAACAAATCGATGGATGGATAATAAAACAAGGTAAACCAGCAATAGAAATAAATTACCGGTGTAGCACAAAAGAAATTCGTTTTCGTTCAGTCGGAACATTCCCAAAGGTTTTGATCCATCGTATTGCCGTGCTATTGCGGTGAACGACGGGTTCGTAAAGTCTGGTATGGTGTGATTTTGAAAAGTTTCCAGGTTCATGATTTCAAATCCACGAGCACAAACTACACACAGCTTTGATCTCAAGAAATTCACATGATAAGATTCCGATGGGATGTAAAATTGCTAAAAGAAAGAAGTTTAACGTTAGTGATAGTCAAATTTAACCAACCAATCAACTGGATTTTGAAAATTTTAATAAGATCACTCTAAGGGAACAAACCTTACCTTATATTCTTTAAACCAATCATTCCTTGAAGACATGAGATTGCCGAAACGACGAGTAGCTGAACTTTTGGATTTTTCATGACTCGCGTTAACGGTATGAACGGGCTCTATGACCTTGAAATGACTCTCTATGCCTTTCCTCCTCATGTAAACCAATAGGGTTTTATCTTTGATGGTGCCAACATTAAAGTATAGGACATTGTTACTGCTGCACAAACGTTGCCGTACCGCTGAACCATGGACGTTTCCACTCGAAGACGAAGACGACGACGGTATTAGAGCTTCTAACGAATATGCCCAGAGCACTCTATCTGTATACAGACTCTTTTTAAGCACACCTCTTTGAACCGGAAACCAACCAAATAATCGACTGTACCAACTCACCAACTAAAACCACGAATATCCCGTAATTCTCGATCACAGCCATCTGCATCACATTACCGATTGTCAAAACTTTTCGAAATGTGTTCACCTCACCGCCAAATCCCATCCACACTCCTTCCTCCGTACCGATGGCGACCATATTACGTTTTTCCGGAGTGACTACAAAAATTTTTTTCATTCAAGTTCTGAGTGTATCACTCACGACAGACTAATAACCAACAAAGTACTAATTAAAATATATATACCAAACGGTACAGAACAGGTGACCTTTCCTCTTGAGATTCCGGTTGTACCTTGAGTGGAAGTTCCGACCGGACCAAGCCTAAACGTAGTATCGTTCAATGTAAACAACTCAAACACGTGCGTATTTGATTCTTTCAACTGAAGCTTGGTCTGCGCCTCCTGTATCTTTTCCTTCCACATCTTTCTGGTGTTAGCGGAATCGGCAAACAATTGATGTTGACCTCCATTTCTCCCAACGTGTTCTATGGTTAACTGATTGTTTGAATAGTTTGGTCTATTGTCTGCACCTTCCAAGTTGGTAACAAGCTGGGTACCCCCTAAAGCTTGTGAAGTGGGCGTTTTCTTTCGTCCAACAGCTGGGAACGACGGAGTTCTTGCTTGTGAACCGTCACTTGAAGCATCAATAATAAGCATCTCCAAGGGGATGGGCTTTCGATTGACCATACATTAATTATTTATCACCATCACAATGAACAATATTTGAATAACATGATCCTAGAAGAGTTACCTTTTTCGAAACAATGTACTTGATTTCCCCATCAGCTCCTTTCTTTCTTTTTGTCATGACTAAATAATGATCAAAAAGAAACACGTGAAGCTCTAGCCATTCGAGACGGGTGGCCGATTTTTTGTAGAGATCTCCTTTGAATAACAATTGTCGATTTATGTCCATAAGCTTAAGCTCGGTCTAGGAGAATTTCGTTAATTGTGAGTTGGAAAACATAAAATAACAATGCATGATTTCTAGATGCATACACAAGGGTCACCATTCTTTTTCATCAACTTCATCTCAAGATCTAATATCCTCAACCGTTGTTCTGCCTCGTGCACTCTGTTGTCACTCTCCTTGCAGATATTTCGAATTGTTTGCAAGGCACCCTCGAGAAGACCTTTATCAGGATTGTCATCTGATGTATGCTTTATGATTTGCTCAAGAAACAATGTGTACCGTTGTAATCTTGTAGTAGGTCGTTGTATGAAGTGTCTGAAATCGAGCTTTCGGGTTTCCTTATTTCGTGAACAATCCTATAATCCACGCATCATCATGCAACAATTGCAGAATATGTTATTACGTGCGACATCACATGCCATTCAATCAGATGGTCATTTAATCACCTCGAGGAAGCGCTTGAAATCGGAATTCTTTAATTTCACAGTCCTGACTGAATTTTCGGCGATAGGAAAATGTCCATTGTAGTCAACGTAATCCCTTCCAAATTCCATAGCGCTATCACAAAAGATGTCACCGATACTCTGAACGACGTAACCTTCCTTTTGCCTCGCTTGTAAGAGTTCAAACATCTTCTGATTGTGCGCTCTAATTT